AGACACACACACACACACACACACACACACACACACACACACACACACACACAACCACACTTATTCTAATTCCCTCCCCCTCTCTCTGTATGTGTGTGTATGTGTGCGCATACGTATGAGTATATATGTGTGTGGGGGGGGGAGTAAATGTGTCTGTCTGTCTCCCTATCTGTCTGTCTGTCTGTCTGTCTGTCTGTCTGTCTGTCTGTAAACACGGTTATTGGTCCACCACCATTTTCGCGCCCTAAACAGTGACTGACTCGGTGCCAAAATCTCGGGGTGAACCTGGACACGCATCTACAACAAAACACAAACAAACGCTGGGATTACACGAGGAGTTCACTGATTAGGCTTAATTAAGGCAGGCGTTCTGATGGAGCAAACGGATCCCACCTGTCGGCACGGGTGCTTTGATGTGTGGAAACGTGCATGCATTAGACGGGAGATTAAAACATAACCGACTGTACACGGTCAGGAGAGCAGAGGCAATGACTAAGTCTGAGAAAGCAGTAGGAAACATTGACCTCTGCGGCCACAGCACAACATGTGAGGTCAAAGGTTTCAATTTGTTTAGTTTTTGCTGTTTGTTTTGTTTTTTGTTATTGCAATTTTTTGTTTGCCTTTTCGGTAAAGAACACATAAACATGCTTGCGCCTTAAAAAACACCCACATACGTACACATACACACAACTTCACGCCCGCACACACAAACATAAATGTACATATGCTCTCTCTCTCTCTCTCTCTCTCTCTCTCTCTCTCTCTCTCTCTCTCTCTCTTTCTCTCTCTCTCTCTCTCTCTCTCTCTCTCTCTCTCTTTCTTTCTCTCTCTCCCCTCTCTCTGTTGTTTGGGTTTACGTGTTATCTTTTCCCTGCCCTGAATGGCTGCTATCGTGTCGATGTGCGTTGTTTTTCGTTTTGTTTTCCAAAAACCGAACACAGCCCAAGGGCAACCACCTACTTTTCGACGCTTCAGTTCAATTATCTTTTGTTTTCTTGTGGGGGTTTTTAAAAGCAGGGTTCAGTCAATAGTACTGCAGACATTTCGCTGTCTCTCTCAGAAGACGTAAGTTCGATTTCCGTGTGGGGAGAATATTTGATCGCTTTTAAGCTCAAGGGGGGCTTTCCCGCAGGAAAAGCTTTTGCTCTTTTGTTCAGTTTTTTTAAAAGACAAGGAGAGTTTTCTCTATAATCAAACAAATATACACACCAATTAAACCAAACTTCTCCTATAGGTAGAGCAATGCCCACTTTTGGTGTAGGTCAACATTTCTGGAAACCCACGAAATCTGGGTTAGCCCGCTTGTCCTTAAAAGCGACCAATTATGTGTCGGGTATATCTCTGTCTTTCTGTTAGGACGTTTTATCATCCCTGTCAGCCTGGATTGTCCGTGACAGACAGGGTCTAAAGCCGCCCGCCTTCTAAATGAAACAAGGTTGTGTTGAGGGCGCCGTAAAGACACATGCTTAATTAAAAAGTTGCGTTCCTCTTTGCCTTTGGAAAGTTTCAGAGTTTCCAACATCAACGCGGGTCCACAGTTTTGTTCTAACTTTGCCCTGCCTCTTTCTCTCGTGTACAACAATAACCCCAATAACAACAACAGCAGCAGTAACAACATCAATCACAACAACAGCAACAACAACAACAGCAGCAGCAGTAACAACATCAGCGGCAAAAACAAGAGCCAAACACCTTTGTCGGTAGACCACTGCCGTGCACTGTGAGTGAACCAAAACAACAACAGCAGCCATGTGGCGGTGGGCGACCCTGGCGTGAAGGTCACAGACAAGCACAAAGGAGACAAAACAACTCTCTCACTCTGGTTCTTTTGCCTCCCA